CCCGTGCATTTTTGTGGTTAGCTGAATGGTTTCAGTTCTTAGGCAACAGGAGCCTCTCCACACAGGATATGTTTGGCATTTTTTAATTTCTGGTGGGGTGACACGCGGGGAATGCTGGCCAGGACTGAACCCCCAGAAGAAGCCAGAGGAGATGGATGAGTGCAGACATTTGGGAGCGTCAGGCCAGAAGTGCCAGGGCAGGAATTCAAGTGATTTGTTCATGATCACACAGGAGGGACATTTCCGTGCGTGGTGAGGACTCTGCAGGTTACCCAGACATCTGAAAATCCCAAAGGTTGCAGTTAAGCCATCCTCACCTTAATGGTGTTCACAGAAGGGGCGAGGGGGGGATTTGGCAGCTCAGATTTATCACTGGTCAAGAGACACAACTTGAAAAGCAGATGGATCCTGCTGGAAATAGTGCTGTGTGTTTGCTGCTTTAAAGTTCATCAGGCAAGAAACATCTTTTGCAGAGATAATCCTCAAAACCACAGTGAAAAACAGAGTCCTGAAGGGACCCATATCCTGAACTGTGGGATGATGTCCTGCCAGGGGGTTTATCCTAATAAACGAGTATTATCCCTCCTGCTCTTCCAGCCCTGTGCTGCTTGCCAGAGGGGGCACTTTTTAATGGACTAGGAGAAGTCAAAGGAAAATCCAGAAGGATAAGGCTAAAAGCGAATTCTTTGGTTTATACCATTTATAGTCCTATTAAATTCAGTATTTCTCTCAGACATTTGGGGGGCAAGAAGTTCAGTGTATTCGTACATCTTTCAAGATCCTGGCTTGATCATTTGACTCTGTCCAGCCAGCTTAACAAGCTAAATAATAAAAGGGAACAATGCAAAACTTGTTGAATTTTTTTTTTCACCCTGTGTCTTTTTTGAAGTAAAATACCATTTTTTTTCCTCAGATGCCCAGCAGTTTGCTGCAGACTCCTGCAGCTTCTCTGCCCATCACTCAGTACCTGTTTCAGCTTATCAAACTGTTGTACTTCCTCCTTTCATAGAGAAGCAATTAAAAATGATGAGGGTAAAGGGTTAAACCTAAAAGCTTGCTAATGAGGGTGCCTTCTTGGTTTTCCTTTCATCAGGTATTAGATGTTGTTTTCAGCATAAGCTTTCGATAAGCTTCACTGAACATTTTTCCAGTGTATTTTTTAAAAAGTTGGGGTTTTTTTTACCATCCTGTAAAAATGATAGATGTGTGACTCTGCTGTTTATCCAAAATCCTAATTACTGATGCTGGAGCTTTTGAATGTTAAATTCGTGCAGTGTTCTTCAGTCTTCAGACTGGTCAAAGAAAGATTGATTTGTGTCCACAGAGAGTTTTAAGACTAGTAAACACAGCCAACGGTTGTTTATTTATTTTTTCCATTATTTGAAAGTCAAAAGTTGCATCAACTGCAAATTACATACACGTAGAGATTTCTAAAGGAGAAAAAGGAGGGAAAAAAGCGAAAGTTGTCTGCCATTGAATGAAATTTTAATTTCTGTCTCCACAAGAGCAAAGAGTAGGGGTAACAGGTAGAATTTGAAATTATGGATGAGATTTCCTTTCCTTGAGCTATGCTATTTATTATAGAACAATAGCTTGATTTTTTTTTTCCCCCTAAGCCTGTACACATATATTTGGGAAAAGTATTTTATATAGATAAATATATATAAATGAGGTTTATAGATTTTGTGGATGTGTGTGTGTATACATATACATGTATATGTGTGTATATATATGTATGTGTGTATGTATATATATATATGTGTGTGTGTGTGTGTATATAAAATATGTGTGTATATATATATGTGTGTATATATATGTATGTGTGTATGTATATATATATGTGCATGTGTGTATGTGTGTGTATATATATGTGTGTGTATATATGTGTGTGTGTATATATATGTGTGTGTATATATATATGTGTGTGTGTGTGTATAAAATATGTGTGTATATATATATGTATATATATATATGTGTGTGTATATATATGTATGTGTGTATGTATATATATATATGTGCATGTGTGTATGTGTGTGTATATATATATGAGTGTATATATATGTGTGTGTATATATATATGTGTGTGTGTGTGTACATATATATATAGGTATATGTGTATATATATAAAAACCAGTGCAGCTCAGCATCAGCAGCCTTGTAACATCCCAAGGACTCATTTTCAAAGGGCAGCAAAGAGGATGATTCAGGATTTCTAATCACAGAATCTTTTGGGTTAGAAAACACCTCCAAGACCATTGAGTCCAACTGTTCGCCCAGCAGTGCCAAGCCCAGCACTGAGCTTTGCCCTTCCCTGTGATGGAATTGGGAGCAGCTCAGCTCTGCTGCATTCCCAGTGTGTTTGCTGTGTGTGAGCAGCTCCTGTGCCTGCCAGGGCCAAGCAGGGCCATCCCTGTGGGGCTGGAATCTCCTGCAGAGCTGCCCAGGTGAGCCAGGGCCATTGCTGCTGTGCAGAGTGACTGAAAACTCCGCAATCCTTGTGTCCTTGAAGCCTTTTCTGCGGTTCCTAAAGGCTCTTAGGAGGGGAGCTGGCTGTGCTAATCCCATGCTGAGCATTCACCTACCTGTGCCACCTGAGAGGAGCAATGTGGGGCAGAGAAGGTGCTTGTTAAAAAAAAAGAAAAAAGAATCAGACGATTTCTCTCAGGGTTTTCTCCGTCTCTAGTCAAGTTTGTTTTAAACTAATGGAAGTAATTAGCAAGTCACAGAGGGACTTTGTCTACGAGGTAGCCATTTTTAGATAATGGAGCATAAAAGTCGACACAGTGACATATGACACCAGAGCAGCATCTTGGAGCCACGAGCTGGGTTTTAAGCAGATGTTTAAGTACTTTGAATACTGAAATCACTACATACACATATAGAAAGGTTGGTTGTTGTTTTTTTTTTTTTTCTCTCAGACTACTGTAGGGCTTTCTTTTAATCTCAATAAAATCAAAGTAAGCTCTGAAATGTTTTTTAATGTGCAGTCATTATCGCTCCTTTCTCTCTTCTTTAAATGTCTTTCAGTGAGTGATACTTGGGTACTTGGGGAGTAGGGATGGAACTTGAGTTTTATGTGACCATTACACAGCAGAGGGGTGCAGCAATACAGCAGCTGATGTGCCAGGTTCCTGGCAGTGACCATGGTGTTGAGCTGAAAATAAATAACATTTAGAAGTGAAGATGCACTTGATATGCTCACACATATTTATTGCAGCTGTGAATGCAGGGGAGATGTGCAGAAATTCCAGAGAGATGAAGGTGATCTCCCAGCAGGGTGGGAGATCCAGAGGTCCAGGGAACCTCCCCTCTGAGATTGTCCCAGTTCTTGTAGGTCCCAGCAAAGCCTGTGTGTGCTTACCCTCATCCAGAGCTTTCAGGTAGTTTTTATGTATGTACTAGATAACTTTATCCATCTTATTTTTTATAAATCAATGCGTGACATTCGCTGTTTGTGCCCAGCAGTTGCTGCAGCATTTGGTAACACTTCCCACCACACACATAAAAATGTACCAGTGTGGTCTAAATAAATACACAGCACAGAAAGCCTTTGTAGATGTACAGTTAGAACACAATCACAGCACCCCAGTTACTGAGGGGTGCAGTTTGGTGAAGGAGGGGAAGGATTTTCCCCTCCTCTACCACAGTCTGCTCCTCATTTCTCCCTACTTTGATGTGCCTGGGGGCTTTGACAGCCAGGTGGGTTGAGCCATTTCCTGAGTGCTTTTTTCTTTCACCTGCGCCATGGTTGGGTTGTTGTTTTTTTGTTTTGTTTTTTTTTTTAATTTAAATCCAAATTAGTCTTTGATTCAGCTCGGAGCAGGGCTACAGAGCTGTGGTTGGTACAGGGGGTGGAGTGCCCTGCATCCCTGCATCCCATCACCACAGCCAGCCTGGGTCCATCCATCTGAGCCAGCCCCTCTTCTGCAGGAGTTCAGTGTCTGCTGAAGCCCACCAGAGCTGGCCCAGCAGGTTCTCCTCCTCTCCAGGCAGGCTGGAGCATCTCAGCATGAGAACCTGTCTAGCAATCCGAGCTGTGCATCCCCTCTCACTCTCTTGAGATGTTTTTACGGGTACAATCTGTTTTCCTTCACCACATGTGTGTTCCGGCCCATGGATTACTGAGATGGCAGAAGGTGTTTGCTTTCCTGTGTTATTAGCTGCAGCTTCAATTTCTATCCGATTTGTCAATTCTGTCATATAATAGGGTTGAGGTTTTTTCCTGGTCTAATGTATGTGACATGTTTCATAATGCCAATAAAAATAGTTCTCAAACTAGACTGTGAAAGACTTTGACCAAAAAAAAGGCGAAAATAGAAATATCAGCGACTGGGGAGCTTTGATCTAACAAAGTAGGCTTTCAAATGACACGTTATGGTTTATGAAGCACAGTTTTACAGTTCCTTTTTGCAGTAGCTGTAACATGTGAGGGGTTGGCCAAGGTGGGAATGCAGCTCAGGACGGGGGGTCCAGTTCCAGCAGCAGATGCATGCTCCAGAATGGTTTCAACTTTTATTTCTGTGTTAAATTTTTTTTTGTTGTTTTTATATTTCTGATAATGGAATTGTTATGGGCTTTTGAATTTCAGTTAAGATGTGCAAATAGCCTATCTGGTAAGTAGGTTATTGAAGGGTTAGGGAAATGGAGAACATTTCCTGAAAAAAAATACCCACAGCGTGGGTAATAGACTCCAGTTGAATTTAAAAGATAATGGCGACAAGGGAGAAATCCACTTGTACAAATGGGGAACAGCTGTGTTTGAGATCTAATGAAACTGTATCAAATACTTTAAAAATGGCTTACAACTTCTTCCCTGGGGAACAGAGATAAAGCACAAGAGCACTCCTGAAAGGTCGAAGAAACAGTTAAATCATTTCCTTGATGGTTATTAGAGATATAGAAGACATCAGTGAAAATTAAATGTCTGAAACTTGTATTTGATTGCTTTCCTTATCACGCCAATCTCACACATTTCTCCCATCTCTTCCTCTCTGTTCTAGTAAAATTTAATAACTGTGCTGGTAACAAGGGCGTGCGGTACGAAACCAACAGCCTGGACTTCAAGGTGAGGGCGGACGGGACCCTGTACGCCGCCCACCACCTGCAGGTGCCCTCCAAGCAGCTGATCCTGGTGGTGACCGCCTGGGACCCCCAGACCCTGGGCAGATGGGAGGCCATGGTCAGGTTTCTGGTGGCAGACAAGTCCCAGCACAATGGACACAAGGTAAGGGTTTTTTTCAAAGCTCTTTTTCCTGCTTTGTTTTTCGTTTGCTCCAAAGTGTTTTGTGTTGATTGGTCTGTGCTTCTTAAGGAAGTGTCCAGGTAGGAGATACCATAAGCAGCATCAATTCCTACCATAAGGAAGTGAACAGGTAGGAGACACTGTAAGCAGCATCAAATTCCTTGCAAATAATCCTTGAACCTCTCTGACAGAAATTATTTAAGGTGTCCAGTGAGGGAAGTGTTCGCTAAGTTCTGACTTACGTATTTTTGAGTGACCACTTGTCTCTGTCATACAGTGCAGATCATGTACATCATGTTTGCACCTCACAGCTGATAATCTCTTGACTCCAAGTCAGACCAGGAGATGAAGGGTGAAGAGTCAAAACCAACCATCTTCCTGATGGTTTTAAGCTCAGATTCCTTTTGTGACGGCACAATCGCGCACTGGCAGCTCTGCCCTGCTCCTCATCTCCCCGGTTTTCAGAGTCACTCTTGCGAGCAATCTGCATGGCCCTGCAGCTTCCAGAGAGGAGATTTGGGCTTGTTCCTTCCCTTGCAAGGGCAGGGAGCGTTGCTGCTGCCTGATAAGGGACACGTGCTGACACACGGGGCGGGCAGCGGAGTGCGCGGCACCAAACATGCCCTGTGCTCAGTGCCAGCAGCTCCCCTCGCCTGCCCTGGCAGGGAAAAGCCAGAGCCAGCCTTGCAGGCAGCAGGGTACAGATGGTTTCTTTCTGCTTTAGCTCCATACACGCTGCTGAAAGGCAGGAGGGCTCTGTCCCTGCCCAGCAGTCTGAGAGCAGTGTTCCCTCAGTGAAAATCTGCTGGTGGGCTGCACAGAGCCACTGCAGCTGGGGGCTGCTCCAGGAGAACACATTTCTGCTCTGCCCCTGGAGTAGCTGTCACTTCCTCACCTCTTCCATATCATTTTTGGCAGCAGCAGTTCACATTTTAATTTTCAGTGCTGGTCTAGGCTGAAGATCTTTCACTACACAGCATAAATGCAGTTATCTTCAGTTATCTCTGGTGCTGGCTCAAACAATGCAGGGCTGGGCTGGTTGGGTGGTGACATTTGGGCAGGATTTGGCAGGGAATTGTTGCCAAGAGCCTGGTTTGTTGCTGGATCTCGAGGACCTGGAGAGGAAGGATGAAGGTGTGTGTCCTGGGAGCAGCCATGGCTCCTCCAGGGACGGGTGGGGTCTCTTGGCTGTGGCTGTAATTTGGATTAATTAACCTTTAACCAGTAATGGTCCAAACAGCAAGACTGGCCTCTGCTGCCATCCTGTCTGTAGTGCTTGGACAGAGTGCAGGAGCAGGGTGGGGAAAGGAGGAGAGAATTCCTGTGCAAGCTGTTAGAATTCCACCATGTAACTCTGTGCTCTTTGGGAGAGTTTTTGCCACATTTGAGACAAAAAGGAAAAGCTTGGACAGACTTAAATCTCTCACTTGCCCAGTGAGCTGACCCTAAGGTTTTGCAGGGCTTGGAGTCATATGAATAAACTTCTGCTGCTGTTCAGTAGGGCTTGGGCTTGTGGAAGATGTAATTAAACCCTGTTTGTTATTGTCAACTCAATTTGCCATTTCTAACCAAAGAAATACTGCTTCCTTCTAAAAGTAATTAAATATTGAAGGAACAAAGTAAGATGTCTTACATACTGCTTTAAATTTCTTCTCAGTGTAGCAGAAAAAAAACCTGAATAAGCACACATTTCTGTTTTAGTAGAATATTTGGTTGGAAATTCATCTAATGTTAATGTAATCTGAACTCTGGTTGAAAACAGAGAGCTAAGCTTCTTAAAATTCATATCCCTCCTTTCTAAAAGCCTTATTAGTGTGTAGTTTGAGGCTGGATAAATACAGAAAACAAGACTAATGACAAGGTCATAAGCAGTTTTATTGTGGGTCCCTATAGCAGGCATCTGACTTGTGTTTTATTTAAATGCCTGTGGTTTTTGCAAGCAAAATAATCCTTTGTTTACTGAAGAAATAAATATGATTATGAGATTATTTAAAAAATAATAGTGTTTGAGCAGAAAAAAAGAACCCCAAACCTTACAATATCCAGTTCAATATGTTTCAGGCCATGACCCCTATATGCTTTGTGGCTTTTACTAGAGGCAGATTTCACATTTGGTTTTGTGTAGAATAATATGACTCAAGCAAAATTATATATATATATATTTTCTTTTTAAAGACATTTCAGATTGTTTTGTTATACTCAGGATATAGAGATGGCAAATGTGGGAGAAAAAGGAGGAGGTGACCTGAGAGAAGGAGGGAGACCAGTTTTCTTCTGGCGCATCCATTTATTTCCATTTTACTTTGTAAATTTGTGACTGATTTTGCAAAAATGCTGAACAGTTCCCAGACATTATAAATAATTGGCATGAAATTCAATTACTGCACCTGCAGATCACTGTTTGTTGGCACCTACAGCACAAGAAAAGTCCTTTTACCTTGGAGCAATGAGCAATGGCCCTCAGTGAGGGCAGGCCCTCATGACAGGGGCCTTGCTGCCCCTCAGAACCCCCTCTGAAAGGATAAATCAGAATTTAGCTCATGATTATCCAGGGATTAAAAGTGCATCAAAACCAGCCCTCCTAGAATGGCCATTATGAGACGTTTAGTTTATTGTGGAGGTTATAATACAGAATAAATGTTATGGGAGAAATGGATGTTTTTGGGACGCTGGCTGAGATGTTGGGGGGCCAGGAGTGAACCGTCCTGCACAGTGGGGACAGTGGGCTGCCCTCCAGGAGAGCACAGAGGGTTTATCAGCAATAAATGATCCTTTGGGTCTGTGACCCTTTGCTGTCCCAGTGTTCATGACTGCAAATCTGTGCCACAGGCTGGGAGTGCTTTGGTGGTGGCCAAGGGCCTCCAAGGCCGCAGATCCTTTCTTCTTGGGCCAGTGCCCACTTTGTGTGCTTTCACTGCACAACCAGAAGGTTTGGTGTCCATACCTGTGCCCCAGAGCCCCAGCTGAGCCTTGCTCTTGATGCAGCCTGGCATTTTAATGGGGAGGGAGCCAGCACAGTGACAATTCCCCCTCTTCCACAGCGTTGGCCTGATAAATGTGCTGCTTGCTTGAGATGACTGAACAACCTGCCAGATTTCACTAAAAAACAGTGTAAGGAAAGAGTTCTAACTACTACATTAAAGTGTCATGCTAGTAGGGTGAAATGATAGAAAAGAAGGCAAATACTTTAAAAATGTATTTTATGATACATGAAGCATACATTTCCCTTCCTCCCCAGCGAACACTCGAATGTAAACTTTTTTTTTTTCTGGTTAATACAAGTGATGTTAGTAACTCAGGGAACTTTTTTGTTCAGTCTTGCAGGAAACCTGATAGCAATTCAATTAGAAAATGCAAATGAGGTCACACATTTCCCACAAGAGTGCTGAATTACCCCAGAGGAAACTGAGTGATATTCCAGCATAACAATAAATACTTAAGATAAAGTTTCTTCCACCATTCTTGTCTGGCTGCCTGTTGTTCCAATGGAAAGTTTCAGTCTCGGGGCTGTGGGTATAGTTTGGGAAGAAGGAAAAAGAAAATAAAAAAGAAAAGAGAAAAAAGAAAAGAATAAAGGAGAAAAGGAAAAGAGAAAAGATGCTATTTTTATGAAGTAAAGTCTTTGTGGGTTGTGTCAGCATTTGTGAAAGATGAACTTGAGTGGGATAATGCTCCAGAAGAAAGCAAAGTGAAGCTGGGCTTTACTTACCTGGAATTAGCAGTGTAATGTCTTCTTTTCTAAGAGTGCATACTATTATTTTGAAAAATTGGATATTGATTCAACCAAAAGTCTAAAAATGAAAATTATGTTTGTGAACAGTGACCTTGCTGAGGACTGCAATCTTCAGTGTCCTGTTTTTTAGTTACAGAAACTCAAATTTTCGCATTTATGAGTAGAAATATTGTGCCATTCGTCCTTCACACCCTGCACCTGCCCTCTGTGTCCATCAGTCCAAGCTCCTCCTCATCATTCCTTGAAAATCAACTTCCTCCACCCCCTGTGTGGGCTCATCCCGTCTGAAGTTGTGACCTTCTCATTTATATTGATTGTTTTCTTTAACTTTCAGTCCTTTCATGTGTCTAAGGCACATCTGGCAAATTGTCTTCTGTATTTATTTCGCTGTCTATTTTTCTGTAGTTGTCACCTCACAAGTTAAAATCCAGATTGTAGAAATACAGCATAGAAAGGAATTCACGGCAGAAGAGCTTAGAGATACAGGATATATTCAGCACATGTAAGATGTCAGTCATCTGCTGCCAGGGACTTAGTTTGGAAAAAAAAATACTGTTTTCTTTGAGCTGTGTTTATGTCAACCAAAGTTTCTCGTTTGTTTGAGCTTTTCAAATTCTGAGCATGGAAATATGTAAATTTTTGTAATGCTAAATCACTGGGAATTGTGCAATTAAATTCAGAAATATATGAGGTCTGCAGCTAGTGTTTAAAACATTGAGAACTGCTGTCAGAAATCAATTCTTGCTTAAGCCCAGCTTGTGTTTTATTATATCTCATCTTATTTTGGGCTGCTTTCATAACCCAGCTATGAGTCCACAGCCAGACAATGTGAATGTGAAAAGCTGGTTCTTACAGACACAGGGCTTTTTTTTATTTAAAGCCTTTAAATAATCATCTGTGGTATTTCACCTGGCAGTGGTTTTAAATTCAAGAACAGCCTTTTATTGCTGATCACAAGCACAAAGGTCTCTGGGCAAGGAAAGGCTTATTCAGCACTGCTCTCATTGATGGCCTGGGTTATTGTGCAGTCAGGATGCTCTGCACCAGGCTGGGGAGCCCTCCCTTGAAGGAGGAAAATCAGAGTTTAAGTGGCATCTGTGCTTCCAATGACTCCAGTCTCCCTGGCACTGCTGGGCAGGTGCACCTGGAGGAAATGAGACAAAATGTGTTCACTTTCTTTCTTCCTTCTTTTCCCTGCTCTGGGGTGAGATGTTACCTGTGGCATCAGGGTGAGGGGAGTTTGCCCCAT